CACATCTAGGGACCAGCAGGTGGTGTGGTGGTTAAGGCGCTGGACTCAGACATGACTGACCATGGTTCAAGTCCTGGACCCGGCAGCTTCCTTTCTCTCTCTCTCTCTCTCTCTCTCTCTGGTGAGCATACATGCCCTACAGCAAATTTTAAAAGAATAATAATAATAAAATAAATAAATATTTCTTTTTAAAAAAAAGCTACACGTAAAACTCAATTGCATTTCTAACTAACAATGAATGAACATTTGAAAACAAGATCTAAAAACATACATCATTTAGGAACCAGCAGTTAGCATAATGTCTATGTCACTGGATTCCCATGTAGTCGACCACAGTTTGAGTCCCAGACCCTGCGGCTTAAGCTCACGCCGGGCAAATGTGCATGCATGGCCAAGATCCCAAGAGGAAAATGGACTGCGGCGTGGCCTTCCTCCTGGGGGGTGATTTCTCGCTTTCTGTCTCTCTGTCTCTCTCTGTTTTTCTGGCAAGCACATGCACCTTATGGCAAAAAAAACCTCTCCAAAAAAAAAAAATTGTGAGAAAAATACATCATTTATAATAATCTTCTACCCTCTTAAAAAAAGCAGAGTATCTACATATTGAAAATTACAAAATGATCGTGAAAGAAATTAAATAAGACTTAAACAAATGGAGAGACATTCCATGTTCATAAAAAAAAAAAAGTTAACACTTCTCAAACTGATCTACAGGTTTGATGCAACTCCTAGTAAATCCCAGCAAGGTTGTTTTTTTGTTTTTTTGTTTGTTTGTTTGTTTGTTTGTTTAGATTTTTGCTATAAGGTGCATGTACTTGCCAGAGAGACAGAGACATAGAAAGCAAGAAATCACCCTCTGGGGGAATGGCTGTGCCACAATCCCTTCTCCTCCTCCATTCTCCTCTTGGGGTTTTGGGCATGCATGTACACACACTGGTGTGAGTTTTAAGCCACCGGGTCCAGGACTCAAACCACAGTCAATTATATGGGAGCCCAGCAATGTAACCATTTTGCCATCTGCTGGTCCCACCAGCAAGGTTTTTATAAACACAGAAAAGATTTTTCCAAAGATTATGTAGAAAGACACAGATCTCAAAATAGCTGTAACTATCTTAACAAAGAAGAAAGCAGGAGAAACTGTTCTACTTAATATTACAGCCTATTATAGGAGTACAATAATCAATACTGGCAGATTAATACTGGCAAAGGGGCAGAGAAACAGATAAAAGGAAATGAACACAGAATCCAGACAGCTGGTTTTGGACATAGTTGTGAAAACAATTTAATGAAGGAAGAATAAATGACGCTGGAGCACATGGACGTCGCCAGGCAAAAAGAATGAACTTAATCCTCACACCTTATACACCAGATTTAAACTAGGTGAGACTCAAATGCAAAACAAACATCTATAAAATGTTTAAAAAGTGAGAAAAATTGGGGAATATAGGGTTAGGCAAAGATTTCTTATACTTGACACCAAAAGCTCAATTCATAGAAGAAAAATTTGATAAGCTGGTTAGCATCGTTTTGTGAAAGATCTTGTTCGAAGAAACAAGAGGGCTAGCTCATGGCATGCTAGTTGAAGCAGCTGGATCCCACATGGCTGACTGTGCAGTTCAAGTCCCAGACTCAGTGGCTTGAGAAACA